CCCCCCAGTCAGCCCTGGGACCCCCCCAGACCATCCCGGAGACCCACGGTCACCTTGGGACCCCCAGACAACCCCGGGACGCCCCGAACCACCCTCCCAGCCCCGAGACCCCCCTCCCAGCCAGCCCCAACAGCCCAACCCTGGGACCGCCCGAGCACCCCCAAGATCCCCCAGACACCCCATTCCACCCCATCCGCCCCGGGACCCCCCACCCACCCCCAGCACCGCCTTCCCAAAACCCACGGCCATGCCAGGACCCTTCCGAGCAGCCGCAAGACCCTCCAGACACCTCGGAGATCCCCCTCCCAATCCCAGGACTCCCCCCCACATCCCCGAGACCCCCCGAGCACCCCCCCCGGGGACAGCCCTCCCAACCCCGGAACGCCTCCCAACACCGCCGGGACCCCCGAGCATCCCTGGGACCCCCCTCCCGGCCCGCCCGAACACCCACGGCCACGCCGGGACCCCGCTCCCACCCAGCCCCGGCACTCCCGACCGGCCCCGGTTCGGGCAGCGCTGCCCCCGCCGCCTCTCACCGGTAAAAGGCCTCCTCGCCCAGCGGGTACCAGTTGGCCGTGTAACAGTCCATGGTGCGGCCGGGACGGGGGAAGGGGACGGGGATCGGGGGGATCGGGACCGGGGGGGAATCGGGACCGGGATCGGGACCGGGGGGGAATCGGGACCGGGATCGGGACCGGGCGGTCCCGGCGCTTCCCTCCCCACAGCCACGCCCCTCACGTGATGCCGTGACGCCGGGCCGGCCGCCGCCATCTTGGGTGAGGGCATTGAGAGGAAGCGAGACGGGAACCGCCGCCATCTTGGGTGAGGGCACTGAGAGGGAGGGGGGAAAAGGGGAACCGCCGCCATCTTGAGTGAGGGCATGGGCACCCACACCCCTCTGGGTCTGGGGTGTCCCCTGACCCCCAAAGTGTCTGTCCTGTGTCCCCCAGTGTCCCCTGCCTGTCCCTCAAGATGTCCTACATCCCCCAAGATGTCCCCTTGCCCCCAAAGTGTCCCCTGTCCTCCAAGATTTCCCCTGTCCCTCAAGGTGTCCATTGTCCCCTAATGTGCCCCTTGCCCCCAAAGTGTCCCCTGTCCCCCAAGGTGTCCCTTGTCCCACAGGGTGTCCCCCATTCCCCAAGATGTCTCTTGTCACAGACACTGTTCCCACAGGTCTCTCTTTATTTCCCACTGCCGGAAATCCGGGAAAGGCCCTCGCAGTGCATCTGGGCACTGCCAACACCCTGCAGCCACCCCACACGTGTGTGCCAGGGCCAGGGCAGGGTGCCAGGGCAGTGCCCCGTGTGCCAGGGCCGGGGGCTGGAGTGCCAAGGTTGGGGTCAGGGGTGCCAGAGCCGTGCCAAGGGTGCCAGGGCTGGGGTGCTGTGGCAGCATCTCTTGTGCCAGGGCTGGGGTTTGGGTGCCCGGTGGTGCCTCCTGTGCCGGGGTCAGGTGCCACGGCAGTGCCGTGTGTCCCAGGCTGGGGTGTCGTGGCAGTGCCTCATGGCCCGGGGTCACAGTGACGGCACAGTCAGTGCTGAGGCTGCAGTTCGGGTGCCACAGCAGTGCCACGTGTGCCAGGATTGGGGTGTTGTGGTAGTGCTTTCTGTGCCGAGCCTGGAGTGCCGTGGTGGTGCCTCACGTCCTGGAGCTGGGGTGCCGTGGCAGCACTTCACATGCTGGGGCTGGGTTTGGGTGCCCTGGCAGAGCCACAGGGGCCAGGGTCGGGGTGCCATGGCAGTGCCTCACGTCCTGGGGGCACAAGTTGGTGTTGCTGTGCTGGGGCTGGAGTTGGGGTGCCATGGCAGTGCCTTCTGTCCTGAGTTTGGGGTGCTGTGGTGGTGCTGTGGTGGTGCCATGGTGGAGCTTCATGTCCCGGAGTTGGGGTGCCGTGGAAGTGCCTC